TATATTATATAAAGTTTACTTACGTACTTTCATCAACCATATCAGGTCTACTTTTTTTTTTTGCCCATTGACAATAAAAGAGCAAGAATGCAACACTTGGTTCTGTATCACTTTTTTCCTTTTTTCATAGACTAAGTTTTTATTATGCATGTAAAATTGTCAAGGGATTTGGTGTAAAAGGTAGCTTTACTCATATTAAGCAAGCAGCATGTTTTCAAGGCAGTTTGGAAATAAGAACTAACCAGATGGTAAGCATCTATCGAGCATACAAGTAAAACCAGTATCGACTGTGCTAACTTGAATTATTTTATTTAGTAACAGCAAGCCTTTAAGCTCACACAACTCAATTAAGTTGTCTAGGTAAAAACTGACAGTATTATTTGTTGCTTCCTGTAAGTGCCTTTGTAACTTTGTTTAAAACTATAGTTATTAGGAGGGTCAATACGTTCTAGACTATTGTGCTGATGCCACTGTGTTTGGGCTTAGTGGTGGCTGAAGTGGAGGGAGGTGGTGGTGGTCCATGGTGATGCTGAGAGTGTTGGGGATGAGAAGAGTGCCCTGGGTGCGGAGGGGGCAGGGGCGGATGAGGGGAGTGGGTATGCTGCGCGTGGGGGTGCTGCATGTAAGGAGTATGCTGGGAGTGTGCCGCGTGCTGGGAATGGGGCACATGTTGGTGATACTGATGTGGGTGCTGGATATGCTGGGGAGGGTGATAGTGGTGGTGGTGGTGGTAGGGTGGCGGGTTCTGCTGCATATGACAGTACTGTGAATGGTGAGAGTGCACTTGTGCCTGTGTCTGCCCCTCAGCTGGCCCTGCATGATGCACGGCAGAAGGATGCTGTGAGTGTTGCTGATGTGGGATTACTGGAGGGTGCGGAGGTTGCTGTGATGAGCCAGATGGTGGATGGCCTTGGGAAGGTGGCTTTCCCCTTTTACTACCAAATAAGGAACCTAGGAGTGAGGAGGAGTTAGGCATAGTCTGGTGAGGGCGAGATGGACACTCTCGGGTTGATGTAGCTCTTCGGCGCATGTGAGGACTGCTAATGATGGACCCCTAAAAAGAAATTAATAGAAATAAAAATTAAAAAAATCTTAAAATGTTTAAAAGAAAAAGTTCACACTGACCCACAAACTCCTCCTTCAGTGTTCACATGGGTGGACTATGTTAAGAGTTCTAGGAAAAATTTTATTTCCACCTTCTCTAGGTTGCCAATGAGGCACTCATGCCCTTCTTGGGATATTTAAGCATTAAATGTTTTTCTCTCAGTACTTTAATATCAAAAGCTATGACTTTAAATAAGGAAAATGTCACGGAAGAGTAACATGACATAAGACCTAGGAGTGTGTTTTTAAAGGAAAAATACATTTTAAAATACTGTAAAAATACCATACTTGCTTTTTTACAACAAAAAATAAAACTACATTAAATTCAACCTAAATAGTTAAACACCCAGCAGCAAATATTACAGTTACAATTCATATTTCAAAACAGTATTTTAAACTTTTTTGTAGTAGTAGTTTTCCACTACTATATGCCACAGTGCTGCTTCTCAAGCCTGCCATTGAATTATGTGTTTAATGGAACCATACCATTTTTGCCACTAAGATTTCTATGTGATTGTGTTCTTCTGAACTGTGGTCCAATGTCCTCTATTATTTATCCTGGAAGGTGTATTTAGTTTCTGGAAGTTTTGGGTTTGTATTTTTTGAAAAGAGTTATGGGATACAACAGTACTTAGGCAAAGTGTGCTAGATTTAAACTGCAATCTACCTAAAGCAAACACAAAAAAAAAAGAAAAAAAGAGAGAGGAAAAAAAAGAAAAAAAATCTGCAAGCTGAATTCAGAGACATGAACAGTATATATATATAAATGGTTTGAAGATGAATGAAATCTCATGAAATCCACATTGAATTCACCTGTCTTAATAATTTTTCCTCCCATGCCCTATCTGTGCAATTCCATGGTGTCATGACTGCATACATTTAGCAATTTAACTCGAAAATAAGCAATGGGAATGGCTGAGCATGAAAGTCAATAGTTGTAGCTAAATATCAAACAGCAGGAACAGTGTACTTTGTAACAAAGAGCAAGTGGGCTTTTAAGCTGGGACCAGACTGAAATGGTGGCAAAAGGACACATCATATTCATTTAACCATGCTTGCAGGAACAAAGGGAACAAGGTTAGCTCAAACCAAAAATGGCATTGGTCTAAAACAAGCTGTCAGTGCTTTTTAAGCTGGAAGAATACAGAGTGAGTAGCCTAGGCATGCATTTTATTTGAGGCAGGCAGGTTATATGTTAGAAGAAAAAAGAGCAAAAAAATATGTATATAAAAGAAAGGTTTGAAATGCACATCATCACATCCAGCTAGACATCAGTAACTTCCTACTTACTTCCATATTGCTGTCTAGCGATCCTGCACTGCTGCGTCGCCCACGCTTGCCTGCCCAGGACATGCAACACCATAGATTAGAGACTGCGACAAGACCCGGGTGAAAAACAGCTGCTTTCCCTGAATCACTAGAGGAGTCCCTAAATGCATCTAGAGGGGCTGCAGGGGGGTTGACATTGCACTGGACTGGTACAGCAGCTACTAAGGCAGAAACTTAGATTTTTAAGGCCATTAGTTATATTAAGTTTCTGTACCTGACTAATTTTTAAGAGGCATTATTGTTGTGAATCAACTATCATTAGCGGGGTGTGATTTTTTTTTAATTTGTACAACTCTTAAAATACATGTATTTTAGCATCTATATTTAGTAGTATGGTTATGATGTTGACCAACAACAATTTTAAATTGTTTGATTTCCTGGAATTTAATAATCTATGAAGTTTCTTTCTTTAAAGACTGGTAGCATTGATATGTACTTGTGGGGTGGTAATAATTTAAATACAAACTTTAATATTGGCATATTCTGAACTTCAGTGTGGGGGATTGGTGAGGGGCATCAGTTTCATCATTTCATTTTCAGTTTTGAACCTCAGTGGATTTCATATACTCTTCTTTCATGAGGTTTAAAAAAAACTAAACTTAATTTTTGATCAAGAAAACTGGAATCTGTCTTAACATTATGGCTAGATTTTGTTTGTTTAGCTGTGCAGTGCTTTAAGTATGATGGATTTGTGCTCCAACATTCTCAAATTGCCGAAGACATTTGCCTTAAACTACACATGAAACACCAGACTGTTTCCCTGAAGAGCCAGAATACCTCAGTGGCTATATATAGGACACACGATCCCAGATTTTTTCTCTCATTTCACAGGAGAGAAAATAGCATATGGCTGCAGTGGAAATAGGTATTTTTTAAAAGATAGCTTGTTGAGCATTGCTTTGTGAAGTTTCAAAATACTTTACTGACAAGGTGTATAAACAAAGCTAACCTTTGAAGAGTAATCAGGTTCTCAGAGCGTCTCTAAATTCTCCATGTTTTTACAGATCTATGTTTTCGCAATGCTTTCTCCTTGCTTTCCTGCAAGGCCAAATATCGAAGACAATCTCCACCCTGTGTTGGTACATTGCTGCCTTCAGAATCTTCTACTCTAACAGGTGGTTTGGGGGAGGAATGTGAAGATTTCAGCATCACTGAACCTGTGAGCCACACACCCTCATCTTTTGAAGCCCCAAAGCCACACGGTATCAGAGCTAAAGAGAACTTTGGGACTGGTCACATAACAGTGGTCCCTGGGAGATTCACCCTTACTTCTTGACATACCCTTTCACAGACCAATTTAGACTTCCTGTAAGTCTCATAAGATCAGTATGATCTAAAAATACCACCTATTGGATCCATAAGCATAACTTTAACCTGGTTCATCACAGGATGCTGCCCTGCGACACAAGTTTCTTTTAAGAGCTACAGTTCTCTTGAGACTACTGTAACATTTCCCCCTCTCTTATTATCACTGAGAGTTACTCCCCAGTACAATCCCCTCTACATTGACATTAAAATGAGAGGAAGGTGTTTGTGGTCAAGGTGTTTTGTTCGACTTGTTAAATTCGTTGGAATTTTGAACACTTCCCCTAGACAGGCTCTTTGTCAAAAGCTTGGCACTTCATCTCTTGCTGCAGTTTTAGCCTCATCAAAACCGTAACTGTACCATCTTATGAAGCCCCCAAGAAAAACTGGTTTTGATAATCCCTTATTTTTACTTCTAGTCAGGCTTTGATACTGTTCTGCTCTGCTAACGGGATTAGTACTGATTAACACTCAAATCACTCTTGCTTGCTGATACAAAAACACTGAGAAAGACAGCCATCTCTTAACTTAGCAGTCAATATTGGAAATAAGACTGACAGCTGCCACTACTCATTAAATGTGGCTAAAAATGAAGGAAAACAGGAAAATCTAAAACCTTTTGCATATGGAAGGAGTCAAAGTCTCTAGTAAAATAACCATGAACATGGTATATACACAGTATCTACGGACAGAGACAGACAGATGGATTTTTGCTTAGAGTAACTTCAGGGCAAAGTAGTACTAGCAAAGCCAAGAACAAACAGAAAAATCCTACTTAAAATGCCTATAATTTCTCTTCAGATAGGCACTATCACTATAAAGAGCGCTTTGTTTATTTTCTTAAAAACAAATTGAACCCAATCCTGTATTGACCTACAGTGTGATATGAAAGCTATTAAGTAAATCCTCTAGGGCATTCCCCCTGCCAATGTGTGTTTATACAAGACTGCTCTCTGGTCTTTGAGATGGCATCCCATCTCAAAAATGTTTCCCTAGAGTTGCAGCGTCCAAATGCATTTCAAGAAAATGGTGACTCTTGACTAGAATTGTATGTAAGCATAACTCTGTACCTGCATAATAATTAACAGCCGTGGTATAAAGCAAGGTGGTATTTATCAAATCTGAAGACCAGTTTTGCTTAATACACTACTGATCTACTTGAAATTTTTAAGGATGTTACTTACAGTGGTTTTTAATTCATTTTTATAAAATTTAATTTCAGTTAATTTATTTCTGATTCATTCCAACAATTCATTGATGTTAGAGATGAGTATTCTTTGTAAGAAATATCTTTAACTTACGTAAGTATAATATGTCCCATATATGTACATGCATTATATGGGACTAAGAATATTTCAATTTAGAGTAGAAATATTAAGTGATTAAAATATTTTTACAAATTTAAACATTCCAAAAGAAAATTCAGAGTTTCATTAATAAAAATCCATTCTACCTTGCAGAAATTGATCTCACAGATGTGCAGATCATTACAGTAAATGTAAATATTTCTCACTGCTACCCTGTATTTCTTGAAAGTCTGTTCTATGCCACTGAGATACATTGATATCTAAACAATGTATTATGATCTGGCTTTGTATGTCTTGGGGAAAAAAAAAGTTTGGAAAAAAGTTCTAAATGAAGGTTTTGGTAAAACAAACTAATGTAGCGGCTCTTATAACAATGAGTCGGTACACTAGCCTCCAAAGGCTGTGAAATTGATATTCCTAGCAGCAGCAGAATCTATAACCTCTAGCTACTGAGTAGCTTATAGGTACTACCCAAGCTGACTTGCTCAAAATTATCTAAAAAAATGTGCTCTAATAATTAGTTTAGAGACCACTTTCCAGGGTGAAAAAGCTCTTTGTAACCTTCATATTTTCATCTTGTTTTCTGGGTGAAACAGGTATAGTCTTAAGATCACACACTGATTGTGAAAATAGTTTCTTGGCATCTTCAAACAGATTATTCTCAAAATACTGATTAAGGAGATAAGAAAACAGCATAACCAGACCTTGCCTTGCTGAACTCCTCTTTCACTGGAAAAGCAAACACTGTCTCTTCCATAAGACAGAAAAGTTGTTGATACAAAGGTGTTTATATACATTGTAGGGTGTCTTTGTACAAAATACTTGTAAAATGGTTTGATATTAACAAACACGTATCACAGAAGACTTGATTCATACAAATCTGTTTTAGTTAAAAAACCAGTAAGTTCTATCATGCCCATTACTGTTGCTATTCTATTGAAAAATAGGGAACTATAACAACAGTGACGAGGGAAGAGACAGGAAAAATCTCTCCCTACTGGGAAAGCTCTTCTAGTAAGGGAGAAAAAGACTGCTAGTATCCTCCGTCCAATATAGGTCAGCAAAATCCATGGAAGAGGAAGGAGAAAATAACCTAGTAACCCTGTCTGCATCAGATGAGGGAGGAGCCAAAGGACTGCACCATCCCATCACAGATTGATTCAACAGATCAAGGGATTCTGTAATTGCATGAAGTCAGAGGCTTTTTAAGGGGATTACAATGCTGACTCTTTTCTGTTATATTTTGAGATATAGGAAATTTTTAAAAATACATGATGAAATTGTTAAAAAAAAAAAGCAGCTTTTTTTGGAAGGTAGAAAGAAACATTAAAAAGTTAAAGGTTGACGACGGAGATTACATGCGATATACCAATAGAATTATTTTAATTCTGGAACTATTTTATGTGTTTGTTTTGGGTTTGGTTTTGTTGTGGGTTTTGTTTGTTTGTTTGTTTAAAGTAGTCTATACTGGTCTGTGATTGTTTTGAGATGGCTCAGGAGATTATAAGACAAGCACAACTTACATTAATAGTAACCATTATACCATCCTGCACTTCTGCGCATATTCCAATATTGGGTATGCCATCTGTGCATTACCAGGGCAAACCATAAAATTACAGTTTTTAAACCAGTGCAGTGTGTAAGTATTATTTCACTATTTCCACCTTACAGGTTAAGGATGGGGGGAATAAAGCTTGATTTCCACAGGTGCTCACCACTGTAAACTCGAATGTGAAAGCACTGGGTCCTCCAGCAACTCAAAGTCACTGGAATTCAGACTGACTAGCCTAAAATCAGTCAAGAAACCTGTCAGAGATATGGAATCAAAAATGCAACCAGTCTAATCCTCCATGCTCTTCTTTAGCAACCAAATCATTCTTCCCATGTACTAATGGCCATGATGGGACTTCACACCTTTCACATCTTTCTGTAAACCTACTTATCATGTAATTGTATATGGAGTAAGTGGTGAAATTCCCAAAATGCTATTGGAACCCGTAAAACTCAGCTTTAATGGCATTAAAATTTGTCTGTCTTCTAATATTTTTATGTAAATTAAGAATTTCGAAGTCTGGGACAAATGAATTCAGTTCTTCCTTGACCACGGCTAAGAATGTGTAATAAAAATGATATATTTTTCTTTTGAGAAAAATAAAGCACTAAATACTTTTGACATATTCACACTCTGGAACAGTTGGTTGCCACATTCTGCTTTTTATTCCATGGAAAGAACTGACAACCCACAATGAACAATACTATCTTTAAAATCAAGAGATCCTCATTCACATCCTTTTTGCAATTATGATTTAAGCTATCATGGCAAATGCATGGAATAACTGCCATCAGGAAACAATTCCTGACAACGAAATCTTGCCTCTCCTTATGGTTTAGAGCTTAGGAGTCAGAATCATTCAGGGTATCAATATTCATTAGATATAAAAAGCTTACGAATCGTCACTCTTTTCCAAGAGAGAAATTTAAAGTTTCCACAGCCATCATTTATTACTGTGATACATGGTAGAGAGTAATGGACTGTTTTCTTAAATAGTTTTGTCATATACCCATGCAACCAAAATACTGTTCAATCAGACTTCCCCTTCGTTGAATGAATATTTAAAAAGTTTCAATTTGGTTTTGCAATGTTCATTGGACAATTATCTGCCTTGCTGCATAAATACACAATCAGGCAATTTTCTCATGTTTATTAGACTTATTTCTGTTTAAATGTAGAAAGGAACTCTCTAAAAATCCACTTTCACCATGCCTTTTCCTACAGAAAGGCACGTATCCACACCCAGTCCCAGTACTCTTGTTCCTCCTCCTTTTTGATCCTGTGTTTCATCCACAAAAAGAAGAATTGAGGCAACCTAACTCAGTACTCTTTTACAGAAGCAATTTAGTATGTTATAATCACTGGGATGCAGTTATCTTCCTAACTGAAAAAGATTTCTTTGTTTTTTCTATGGATCATCTGTCCCATATTAAAACAAAATCAGCCTCACATGCAAGCTATTCACTGAGAAAAGGCAGAAAAGACATGTATAATCTCATTAAAATTACACCAAATAACAAAGCAAATAACAGATACGTAATTTCTCAAGTCAGTTGCACTGCACAAGACCAAACAGAAACTCTCCATAATTCTCAACTCATTAAAGTTAAAATTAAGTTTAGTTGGGTTTAACAAACTCATTGATAAACCCGGCAGTCTGTGAGTGATTTCTACTTTTTGTTATGGAAAAAAGTTATTTTCAGTAATAAGCATGCCAATTGTAGGCATGCCCTGTTGAAACATGAAATGTTTTAATGATTACAAATACTTGTTTATTGCATAAAACCCGTAACATAAATTTAAATACATGGCAATGTTTGAAAGACAGGGATGAAAAATGCCTATGGGATGAAAAAAATTAATCAGAAATCACATTTATGGGTCCAGATACCCACTGAACTCACATATTCAACAATATGGTAGTTCTCATTCTAATGAAATAAAAACAAAACAACAGAAAAGGATGATGGAAGTATCCTCAGATCTGAGATATTATAGTGGTGAAGACTAGTGGCTTGATCTAAAATCCACTGAAGCCAATCAAGCACCAATATTCAACTTCAGCCTGATTTTGGATCAAGGCCCTAGGTCTTTTTAAGGAAGCAAATGGACATACGGGTATGAAAGCCTAAACAGAGAATAAAATAATTGAAAGAGCTCACTTTCTACATATTTGTATGCACATACATATACCCACAAAACACAGGCTATAATTTCAGTTTACAACAATTTTATTTATTGCAGCATAGCTAAAATCTCTTCCTTAGTTAAAAAAAGGAAAAAGGTAAGTAGTGTCTACTACCAAAGTTATACATGGTATTGAAATTATGACTATACTGTAAATCATCACTGCAATTAAAAGAACAAATCAGAGTATGTAACACAGACTATGAACTAAAAAAAAAAAAATCATAGTTTTTATATATATATACACACACAAACACACATACAGTTGCTCCTATCCCCAGAAGTACTTTCTGAATAGTGGGCATGGTGCTCAGATATGACTTCTTGTAATCGACAGGAATCACATTTAACGCTGAAAGACAAGGTTACTACCCATGGTGGCCTGTATTACATGGGTATGCCAGTTGTGTATTACTGAGGCAAACCCTAAAATAAACACATACCAAATTTCCCCTGGCTTTTCTTTGGCTAAAAAATCACACCACCACTCCTTTCCAGACTTTAGCTATTTTAATCAGTTAATAAATCTTAAGAGACATCAGTGGTTTTGTGGGATATCAGTATTGTTGTCCACTAGGGCTTCCTTTTATTATATTAGCAATAGTATTTCACAACAACCTCTTTTGCAAGAATTGGGAACTATACTTTGAGTTACAAAACAATAAAAGAGCATCAGGGACACACTCTATCTGAACTACATAGCTCTAGGCAAAATTTAGTAGGGCTTCACTCAATTTCATTCATCAATGTGGTAACACAGGTACACTTGAGCACAAAATACATAGAAAGCAGTCATCACACAGAGACCAATTTCTTTTCTTTTCTTTCTAAGCCTATTGTATGAAGGGGAAGAAGCAAAGGGGAAGAAAAAAAGAAAGGAAAACTGAGTGGGTTACTCCCAGCACAAATCAACCACTTTTTTATAAAACACAATTTTTCCTCTGTCTTCACTCTCCTTTAAAAGTATATACAGCAATCTACAATGGTTTAAATGCTTTCAAACAGTGGTTGCTTAATAGAACAAGGGTAAAAAACAAACAGAGATTAAACAGGAACTATGAAAGAGAAGCTATTTAGAATGTTTGAAGTTTCAGTATTGCTAGTTCTGAAAGCCCACTGTGAGCTGGGCTTCATATGCATCATTCATGCATCTTTGCATGCACTAGTCAGAGCAAGGAAATAAAGACAGTGCTTACCTGCTTCAGACAGGTCTCTAAGGGAGCTGCTCAGTGCACTTCTTTTCAGCCCCTCCCCAGTAGCATAGCTGTCATCCAGGCAAGCTCTGTTCAGTGTCCCATTGCCAGAATCTTTTTTCAGACTGGAGCATTGAGACATGCTTGGACGCACCACACCCTTCTGTTTTTCTAGCTCAGCTGAAACAAAGAGAGTAATTTTGCAATTCATATATATTGACTATAATGGAGGACATGGTAACATCACAATTTCTGTATGTGATCGCATATTACTGTGAGTAATAGATAAGAGTTCATTTTGGCACTGTTAAATGCCAGAGAGGAACTTCAACCCTGTACTAACCCCTTTCTATTACAACATACAGGATGAAAGGCTATTCCTCTTTTGGAAAAACAGAAGATAAAACTCCATGTTTAGACACTCCTGTAACTTCCAGCAAAATACATCCATTTGTACCATGGCTACCTAATTGAGAGAATACAGGAATATCAAAATGGAAATGAAGAAAAATTCAGTGAAACTTATTTGAAGGGCCATCACTGAGAACTTCAGAGTGATGTAAACTATCTCTAGAATTCTTACTGCAATTTATATTATAAATTACAAATCCATCTCTCCTCTGTCCATTGCTATTTGCAGTTTGTCCAGGCTAAATTTCCACTGCAGCTACACTGCAGTAAATAATAGTCAATGAACTCAGCTGGGGCTTAAGATATCACTGGGTTTTTCCTCTTTCTAGAATCAAAGCCATGGAAAAAAACCACATTATTTTGAACTTTTAAAGGGTTCCAATGGATTATACACACATTCAAGATTTTCTTATTTTGATTAGCTTGAAAACGCTCTATTATATGTACCTTTGTACTTACACTCTATTCTGTGCTTTTCCATTTCTTGAACCTCTGCAATTGACTCCCTCAAATCATCTGTAAACTTCTTCCTGTCCTGAGGATTTGGTGCATTGAAATTTATTAGTACTTTGATATCTGCTCCTGGAACAGCTGATGTGAGCCGAATACCATTGGGATAATCTAGAAGAAAGAGTCAAGAAAAACTAAGCTGTGATTATTCCAATTACTTTTTATACAAAAAACCCCCCACAAACCCAAAAAAACCCTCCACAACTGAAGGCTTTCTACTAGTATTACCATATAGGGAACAAAGTCAGAGAAATAAAAGTTTAAAGGCACATAATTAGAATGAAATCCCTAAGATATATTGGAACTGCTTAACTGTCAAGATACTGAATAAATATTGAAAGATAGTCTTTATGCAGCTGTTACCCTGAAGGTACAATGAACAATACAAAAGAAAAATCCTAGAAAAAAACCCCAAAATTTAAGGGGATAATTTTTGTTTCGTGGAGCAGATCCCATTACCTACCTTACTTAATTGTGACTAAAGTTTTGCTGAGTAAAGACCACTTGAATACATCTCAAGTACTAGAAACTGTCTTATACTTTTAACTTAACATTTGCAAGAAGACAAACACACTAGCATGTACAGCTTTTAGTACTTCCTATTAACTTGTGTTCCCTGGACATCCTACTTCTATTTTTTTCCCTAAAAAGTTAAAATTATCTGTGAAATTACATATTGAGGAAGTAAAAGGGGTGGGGTCCGTCTGCCCCCCCC